AGTTATTTAAACTCTGTAAATTTTATTTTTGCACCCATAATATGATGGTGAAGGTACCTGTTATTACATTATAGAATTGTTATGAGGATTTAGTTACATAATGGGTTTAGTATGAACATTTAAGCAATAAATATTAACTTCCTGAGACAAATACATGGCCATATAATCAATGATGCCTGGACAGGTTGAGATCTAAACCCAAGCTTTAATTCAGAGCATAACTCTCAATTTTGTGTTTCACGTGTTTTCAAATATGTTGAAATTCAGTAGAACTCTTTTCTAAAGGTATTTTCAGAGTGGTGTACAAATTATTAATTTTAATATAGTACAGGAATTTCCTATAACCTAGTGACATCTAAGAAAGGCAATAATTGTGTGCGTCAAAAGATTTTCTTACGTTGTTGTCCTCTCCTCCTTGGAGACATGACCAAATAGAAACAGACTCATAGAGGCAGAGAACAGAAGAGCAGCTGTTAGAGAACAGGGAGGTTGGGGGCTGGGTAAAAAAAGGTGAAGGGATTACGCAAAAAAAAAAAAAAAAGAAAGAAAGAAAAACTCAGACACAACAGTATGGTGATTACCAGAGGGAAAAAGGGAGTGTGTTGTAGAAGAGGGTAGAGAGGGGAGAAATGGTGAGGGGAGGAGACTTGACTTGGGGTGGTGAACACACAATACAATATACAAATGATGTATTATAGAATTATACACCTGAAATCTATATAAGTTTATTAACCAATGTCACCCTAATATATTCAGTAATTGTTTTTTTAAACCAATCCTCAGCCCTGATGTGAACATCACCTACCCTGGTTTGGTCCTAACAAATTGTCCTTAGCCCTTGTCAAGCAATGTCAGTTACATGTGTCATTTGCTTAGTTTTTTTTTATTGTTGTTTATCCTTAAAAACAATTAGTAAACCAGAAATAGCCATTTTGTGAAACGTGCGTAGCTAGACAGATCTGTGATTCTTATGAGGGTAATAATCTGTTATGGAACTGGATCAATTTGAAAATTAAATTGATTAATCTGGCAGAAAAAAGAAAGGTCTTGAGTTTTTCCAAAGTAAGCATTCCTCAAATGGTGATCATCCTAAAAAAAGGCTCAATATGTACTAAAAAGATGAGTGAGAGTGGAGTTTAAGCTTTTAGAGTCTATCAGATCTGATTGCTTCTGGAAGTTTTATATTTTTGACAGGGTTTAGTGTTAAAATCTTTCAGTGACTACCAGAATATTTCTGATACTCATTGATTGGCTTAGTAAATGTATAACTGTATTTGAACTATATTCCACAATTTCACTTTACTATTAGTTTCATCTTGTCTGATAAAAAAAACCAAACCTCCTGATGATCCCTGTAACAATGTGTGATTGGAATAATAACTTCTCACATGTTGAAGAGTTTGTGGTGCAGCTGAGAGGCATGTAAATACAAGCTGCTTATTTGCAAGAAGCTTCCAGATTTGCAATATGATTGCTATGGAAACCACATAATGAAAACCTTATAACCATCTGTGTGGTTTGATGGATTTTTCTGCATAGCTGAACTGTTTTTGTTTACTGTTATTAAAATGTTGAATGGAATATATTAACCCACAAACATTGACTATTTAAAGTATTAATTAGTATTGTATAATGACATTGCACCTTAACACCAAAATAAAATGTTTAATAATAAATCTAAAAAGAACAACGCATATTTCTATTTCTACTATATTGTGAAGGTGATTATTACCTAGAATATTAGTCACTTGTCTTTATATATATTTTTTGAGTGGTGTAGAGAGGTTTGCTCTGATTATAAGTGAATATAGTAAAATTTATTTTCATGATTTTTGAATCCATTTGTTAACTCAGTATTTATTGAACATCTCCACTATACTATATTCTATTCAAGATTCAGCCTGAGTTTTCTTTCCTCTGACACTAACACACACACACACACACACACCCCAGATTCGATTTTGTTGTCTTTTTTTATAGAAGCTGTTTGTATTGTTAGCTCAAGATAAAATGAGTTGTTTGAACATTGTTAAGAAAAAATTGATGTATGAGACGCAGAAGGTTTTAACCTAAAAATAGCAGTACTGGGTTTGAAATGGAGGAACAAAGTGTTTTTAATGAGCATGTCATCCTCTAAAATACTGCTTTTTAAGCATCTCACGTGACTTTCAAATTGGATACTTACAGTAAGTATTGATACTTAAGTAAATATTTTTAATATTCTGGTGATTTAAGAATACACTGCATATTATAGGCACTCAAATTCTAATGAAATAAGAATACATTTATAGTAATAAATTCTAACTTGTTAACTTTGCCAAGAGCCAAGTTTTTTCATTTAATTTTTATAATTAGTTTGATATCTTGACAATGACTTTGGGTGGTGAGTCTAAATCCCATAGTCCCTTCTTAAGGGCCAAGAATACTGTTTTCTATTTCTATATTGGTGGGGTTATGGCTTTTGACTTAAGGGCAAGTGCCCTTAACTATTTTTGAATTTACTTCCTACCAAATTGTAGGAGAGAGAGTGCTGGGGGAAATGCAAGTGTGAAAAGTAAGGAAAGCTTTCTCTTTCACCTTTCAAAATATTAACTATCTGTAAAATGAGTAGGTTAGACTAAATGACTGTAAATGTTCCTAATACCCTTAAAATTTGATGAAAACCCCCTGTCAGCTCACGTGTGATAACTAGGCCTTGAGGTTTGGCCTAAGTGAGATAAGTGTTGTTGAAGAGTAAAGAGACAGGATTTAGTATCAGACTTTTTATTAGGTCTTTTATGTATTAATTACTCTTTGACTAAATCATATTAAAGTGCCAGTGTTAGGTTCAACTTAGTATATATAAATTACCAAATATTTCCAGCTCTTCCTTATAGTGGAGCTTTTCATTATTTTGTTTGAACTGAGTTACAAAATTTTGAAACAGTGATATTTCTCTTGTACGTACAGGAACTTCCAAGCTTGACTTAAATATCGACTTTTGTTAATCAGCACTGTAAAATTTGCATGAGCCTTCTAAATGCGCAGGTGTCGTCCTGACCTCCCCGCCAGCCTTTCCAGTCGCCCCTGGACATTTCCCCTGGGTGGCCGCACCGGTGTATTCAGCCTCTCCTGTCAGAAACACAGCTCCATGTGCTTCCTCAGCAAAATCGCTTATCTCTGCTATTCTCCTCTTCAGTAACGATGTTCCCATTTCTCAGTTAACCAAGCTCAAAGCCTCAGCCATCCTTGGCTGCTCTCCCCGCTCCCTAGCCCGCCCCATCCAGACAGGCACAGAGTTTATCAGTTCCGGTTCCTTTGCCTCTCACGGCCATCTCCTTTCCGTTTCCTCTGCCCCTTCAGTCCAGGACTTCCTTCCCCACAGCCAGACTCCGTGTGCCTCTCCGCACGCCTCTCCTCCGGGACCGACGCGGCGGGACCCGATGAGCGCGCCTCGGGCCGAATTTCGGTCCAGCCCTTTCTCCGCTCAGAAATCTTCTGGGACTCGCATTGCCCACCAAGTAAAAGTCTAAAGTCTAGAGAGGATGTGCGTGGCCCTCCAACCACTGACCCAAACCACCAGCATTCTTTCCCACCCTACGCCCTCCCTCTGAGTACCACGTTCTTCAGCTAAAAGGAATATGGTGGCACCTCGTTCTTTTGTCTGTGCTGAGCCCTCTGGAAGTTCTCTCGTTCGCATTCCCCCCTCTTCACAGTCCCTCCATCTCTCAGAGCCTTCCTGGTACTGCCCCAGTGCGTGGTTTCTTCCGTGCGCTGCTTCACGCCTGGACCTGGCTTGTCAGGATTCACGCCCCATCCTGTTAGATTCTGTCTTCTGTCCCTCCAGGTTGTCAGCTTCCTGAAGGCAGAAGCTCCCTACTGTCCTGGCCTCCTTGGTAGAATCTCTCTTTTACATGTAGTTACTACTCAAAAGATTTATTGGTTGAATTATTTAATAGTCATAATAGCTATATTTATATATTTAGCATAATTTTCTTTAAAGCTTTGGATTTCTCTTGAAATTGTGATTCTTTTTGGATCCAGTGTTTCTTTGACATACTGCTTCATTCACATGCCCTGCCTTAAATATTTCTAAGTTCTATATATCCTTAGGTAAGGAAAGTGGTAATGTAATAAATGTTTCTTTAGTGTGAAAGATTCAGTCTATTGACTCTGTTAAAAACTGTTCTCCTTTAATCGTAGCATATTCCCTCCTGTAACTTGGAGAAGGAATGTGATAGGAGAGTGTGGAAATAATATAGGTAAGGCGCTAATATATGCAGGATAAGGAACATGGACTTTATAAACACAAACCGAAGTTTGAATAACAAAAATTGGAAATTGCTTTACATTTTCAATTCTCAATGTACTCATCTGTTAAATGAGGATTTAAGAATTATTTATCTATGGAATCTATACACCTGCTATAGTGTGTGACACACAGTAGGTTCTCATTCATTATAATCGGTGGGGGTGGGGGGCAGCGGATCACCCTGAAGGGTAAAAATCCTTCTAGTGTTCTCTTGCAAAGATCAAGTGAATCAGCCTATGAAGTCTCTGTTTCTCAATAAGTGACTGTATTTTATATTACATGTTTTCTCTTTGCTAGAGTATTGATGTCTTAGGGACCATGATTTTGTGTGAGGTACCCCTGCCACAGTGTAACGTGGTCTGTCCGTGTAGTGCTGGGCATCATTTTACTAGGTATCGGGGCTTTCTGGATCTAAGATTGTCCCAGATCAGTTTCTATAAGGATTTTAAAATAACATATGCAAAGCACTAGTACATGTCTTAAATTCTGTTAAGCCAGCTGGTAAGGTTGCTATTTGGAAATAGCTAGAGGTTTATTTGTTCAGCTTTATATTATTGAAAAAGGAATGTGAATGTTGAGTGGTTTCCTTCTTTGAAAAGGAGTCTTCATGTGTTATCAGCTTTTAGTTTTGCTCTTAAGATGGGGTGAGCACTGTATTGTTATCTTGGAGGAAACCCTTCAGTGTGCCGTTTCTGTTGTTTATTTACAGAAGAGGAAGAGGAAAGTGCTCCTGGGAAAGTGGAGGAACAAAGGAAGATGAGCCAGGACAGCGCTCACCACACCACAGGTAGCGAATCGCGCGCGCCTTCCTGGGAAAGCTTACTTTGGTTTTGTTCACTTTCTTACGGCTCTAGAGACATTTCCACAGCTCCCCAAAGCTGGCTCCTCCGGTGTGGGTATCTTATGGCTGATAAACTGCTTAGCCCCATTTAGGATGCATGAAAACCACTTGAGAAGGATTTATAAAGTAAGCCAATTTATACAAGGTATTCCTTCCTGAATTACTTTGTAATGACTCAATTAGCTTTCATTTCTGCACAAAGGAGATTTAGTTGCATAAATTAGCTTATCATCATTGAGGAAGTGTCACTGCTAAAGGACAGTTTATAGATACAACATGCAGTTGCTGTCAAACCTATAAGAATGTAATATAGACATCTGTGTATACTTTGTGCTTGAGCAGAACAGACTTCTGCCATTCAGAGACTAACAGGGGACAACAAGTTGCCCAGGGGACTGGCAATGTAGACATCTCTGAAAAGGTCAACTTGACACAGGCTCTGACAATCGACCCACAGCTCTGTCTTCTTTGATAAAAATCAGATAAACTTAAGACCGCTAATTGATCTGCAGCCTGTTTAAATGTTGGCCATGCATATCTTCATTGCATATGATTAACACAGAAAGCAAATGAATTGGGTAAGAAATGCCAGGGTCCAGTGACAGCAGCTTAAAAATGGGAAAAGGACGCTGGTGGCCTACGCGTCTAGGAAGGATAGTCCCCTTATCCATTTCCACTTGGCACATGGCCCCAAGTACTAATTAGGACTGAGACCGGAAAAATAACTACACATGCTGTGGACAAAATCACATGATATGCTCAACTTTTCTTGTTGATTGTTATTTCCAAATAGCAGGAGATAAACCATATCTGTAGTGTAAGCATGAGGTGAGTTTTGATAAACCAACAATCGTTTTACACGGAAAGAAGAGAAGGGCTGCCTTCTTATCAGGACTTACCCCCCTTCATAGCCTCACATCAGCTGGGGCAAGGCCTACCGTATCATCCCACGTCCTGCAAAGAGCTGTAGTTGGGGGTCACCTTCCCCTCTCTGATATGTCCATACATCACTCTTTCAAGCTGTCAGAGGCAGGGTGGACGAGAAGTGTGTGTTCAGGAAGTGGCTTTCCAGAGTCCTTCCTACTGTGACATGTGGAAAGGAAACAGAGGCCTGATTTCCGGACCTGGACAGGAAAGCAGGAGCAGGTTGCTGCAAAAGGGTTTGGTTCGCTTTTTTCAGAAAGGAAGTGAGGATGGAGTCATTAGATGTTAGCGCTCAGGTCCCATAAAATGCAGCTACAAAACACGCCGGTGGAGTGAAACCTTGAGGACGATGTCCCTAGTAATTGAAGTGTATATGTTTTATTATGTGTCATAAAGCTTCTGCCAAAAGCGTGTAGCTTTCTTTTTAAAAATTTCAATGCAGGTGTAGAACATAGACACACATAGATATTCTTTCCACAAATTTAAGTATTTTGCCTTAAAGCGATTGCATTTTTCAAAAAATCCTTTTTATAGTGACTATCTCCCAAATTTTTGCCTTTGAGGGGAGAGGAAAAAAAAATCAGGTTTTTCTCAGAGGAATGCATTAAATAGATCTAGCTTTTCATGCAATAGCTATAAATTAGCACTGCAATAATTCTTATCTTTCGTGACATGAAATTCTTTTCAAGCAACAGTTTTAATGCTTTTGCATAGCAGTGACCTTTGCTCTCCCTAGGCTGTCAAAGATGTAACACTAGAAGTTTGTTTGCTGTGCGGGGCAGTGAGTTGACAAGGGTATTACTATCTTGCTGAGCATCACATGATGTGAACTTCTAACCTTACTCAAGAATGTTATATATTTTTCACATTGACTGATTTTACTAAAAAAAAAAAATCAGACTAATGTAGAATACGTAAGCAGAAGCAGAATTAATCTTGGATTTCTTACAAGCTCTTTCATGTTCAGGCTTATATATCTTGCATATGTTTGTTATATTTATAATAAAGATTCCATTTGAATTTTTTGAACATTGTACAATATGCCTACCTTTCTAAAATAGTTTTTAAACCTTTAACACTACTCAGGGAGAGATTCTCCATTATTTTATTATTGTATATTTCACCCATTGTCATCATTTTCAAAACTTTTTCATTTTTGCAAAAGTGTCTCCAATGTTTATATTTTCTTAATAATTTTATTATTGCCCAATGGTCTGTTTTTGTATTTTTTAAAAAGCAGGAGGAAGTATATTGTTTAAATCTGTCACAGGCTGAGTAATTTAGATTTTTTTCCTTCTGTTTTTAACCGTTCATGCCTCTCAGGACAAGGAACATAATGAGGTGTTTTGGGTTTTTTTTTTTGGTAATTTTGAAAACATGGATCGCGATGTGGATAGAATAAGAAAATTAACCCACACTCTAAAGACAACAGACTTAATTTGTATTCAGAATGTTTGCTTGTCTGCTTTGTGACATTATGCTGCATCCCACGTTTTGTTGTTTTTTTAAAACATACTTCACATGGATTATTTTTTCAGTGTACAGTTAACTTTTCTGAACTCACTGTGCTTCTGAGGCTACATTGGTGCATAATTTTTTGGTGTATGTTTAGCCACACTTATTTTTTAAAAAGTAAGTGAGAGGAGCTTGCTGCTCTCTAAGGAACACGATAATTCCTAATTTTTATGTCTAGAATTTATACCAAGAATCTTAACGTTAACTTTCCTGAGGAGACTAAGGCTAAGAAACATGTGCTTGCAGGTTTTCTCCCTAGCTGGGGTTCTACTTTATAACTGGTACAGCATGCTGAAATAGAAAGAACAGTAAACTGTGTATACATGTAGCCACGTGACACAAACAACTTCTTATTCTTTAACCGAGCCCACATATGGGACACAGAAATGAGGTTGGTCTTTGGGTAACATCATCATCAAGATTATAGAAAGCGCAGTGGAAAATGCATCTTCTCCCCAGTACGGCCACATCGCTAGCTCACTTACCTCGTAAGGCAGTGAGATTTAATGAAATGCTCACAATGCACATCTAGGGAGAGATGCATTTTGCACACGGTGGGGGTCTCCATGCCCCTCATGTGCTCCTGTAACTCCCATTAGTGTTAATGGGAGTTTCACCAAGCGCATCGAGGGGAAGAGAGACCCCAAAGTGATAAGGATTATTATGCATTAGAAATCATCATATACTTTTCTTTTCCTTTCTTCCTTCTCCAAACCTCTTGAAAATTTATTGAATGCGAAACTATGGTGAAAGAAAAAGGAAGGAGCAGGCTGCAGGCCGGACAGCTGGGGAGCCCAGGGGGACGCCCTCGCCAAGCCACAACTTCTACTCTACTTTTTAGCCCAAGTTTTGTTTCTTTAGCCTTTTTGGATCAAGCCTAAGGCTGAGCAGCATGGGGAACACACAGGAGCCTTGACTATTTAGATCCTTTTACCTCCTGGCCAGTGACTGCGGGGGCGGGCCGTGCATGTGCAATGATGTCATCCTCTCTCTGCTCCAATTCCCGGACTTTTAAACTGACACTGACGGACTGCGTGGGGCGCAACATTTGACCCATTTAGCAGTTGATTTAATCTGACTAGGATGTTTCAACTTCTAAATCTCTATTTGTCTAAATAAGTGGTTTTTAAAGGAAATCAGTCACTTTATTATTAAGTAATTTTTTCTAAAAAAAAATAATTTCACAATGTTTGGAGTGATCTGTCCGGCCAGAGTGCCCTCTAGTGTCCATTTATAGAATTTACTTAATGTATGCTTTGCGGGGAGATGCAATGAAGGGTGGCCACAAGCATTGTTAGTTCTTGGTTGGATTCCCAGGCTTGTGCAAATCCCTGCTGGTATCTGTGATGAGGGCTCCAATGCTAGAGTGGAGAAGTCAATAAGGTATTCCTTTCTCTCTGCCCCCTCTCTCCTTCCCTCCCTCTTTTCCTCTCCCTTCTATTTCCCTCCCTCCCTCCCTCTCTTTGTTTTAATTCTTAGAAAACAAGAGGAAAAAAATTAATAGGAGGGTTTTGCTAGGTTGTCCTTGTTTATTTTCTTAAAAGTATAACTTAAAAGTCATATCTTACTTCCTAAATATTCAGACTCCCTATTATTTGGATTTTCTTTTTGGCTTTACAAAAATGTTTACAGATTCAAGAGAATTTTTAAAACTTCTAATGAACATAACACTTTGTACATAACACAAACCATGCATAATAAGACAAATGCCCTAATGACATGCTAATGTAACTAGTTGTGTTGGAATTGCCAAGGAGCCTGCTGTTTGAGAGCCATATAACAAAACTGAGATGACAACCCCGCTGCAGCCTGTGTCTCTCCGCAGCCACCCCCTCAGAATTCAAAGATGACATTCAGTGATGGAAGTTGTCATCACATATATGTTCTGCCTGGTTAGTGAATGCACGGACATCTTATTGATATTACTTGCATTCTTTTTGCATTAACTCATCAAAACTCAATTATCATGAAATTAAAAACAGGAAACAGTTCTCAGTGTAACAAAAGCATCCAGTGTATTTAACTCTGTGCTGTGTTTCAGGAGACCCACATTGTATAAGTGACAAAGCATTTATTACCCGGTTTATTGTGGTATTACAGAGCGGAGAGCGCTAAATAATCAATCAGTTAATGGTCTGTATGGCAGTTTGAGCACATCACATCCATTGTGCTTATGCTGTTAGAAGGATGAGCTGATAACTCCAGTGCATGTTGCATGTTTATTCAGAGCCTAATGTCCTAAACGAGGGCTGACAGAAATCTTGAAAAATGCAGCTTCAGCATTGGCAATTTCTAAGTTGTTAAAATATTTTTTAAATAACTTTGAGAGGCCTTAGGTACAAAAGTCCCCAAAGATAACAAGAGCTGGAATTACCCTTTGTATTATTTCCACTTTATCCTCTTTCTTGAACTACCTTTAGGTTGTAGAATTTTTTAAAAAAATTGTTTTCTAATTTGGGTTAGATTTGTACCTTAACTCCTTTATTATTATTTTTATGAAGTGTCCCAATTCTGTAAGGTGCTTATTTGCAATGTGTGTATTGCATCTCTCGGATATTGCTCATTATGCAGTGGGGGTCTCATCTTCAAAGCATGTTACAAATGAGCTTAGGTTCGTACATAAAATAAGTGGGAAGTAACTTCTAGGTGCTGGTTTGATGAGAAAATGTCAAGTACATGTTTTAGATGAACAACAAAGGGAGAGAAAGAAAAAAGAGACATTCAAAAATCAGATCTTTTTGAAAATGCTCCTTAATGAGATGATAGTTAGAAGTAGGATTCTTGTGCGGATGGAATAAACATTTTCTTTGAATCAAGACTGACTTTTTAAAACTATTTTGGTTGTTTGAGGTGGCCCCTTAATTTCTCTTGGTTCATTTTTAAATGTGGATATATTACATGAAAGCTCTAACTCCTGCTTTCTCTTCTTTTCAGGGGATAAAAGCACTGATTACGCTAATTTTTACCAGGGCTTGTGGGACTGCACAGGTGCCGTTTCTGATGAGTTATCATTTAAACGTGGTGATGTGATTTACATTCTTAGCAAGGTAAGAAGATAGTCAAAAATGACAACTGTAAAGGGTGAGTGCAAAACTAGATTTGCTTGTGTTTGGATTACAGTATTGGGGAAAAATGCCAATTGGAATTCTTCTAGAGCCTTGTTAACAATCGGGAGTTCACAATAATTAATTATTTTGTCAAGTGAAATATAATCAAAATTTAAACACAATCAGATAACAGGATTCAACTTAACAGTGTGTTTACCTATCACTTTAGCCTTTGGCTCACGTCCACACACTGCCTTCTCCAGAAACAATATACTTATGTGAAAGTTAACATTGTAAGGTATTAGGTTATTTATTATGTTTTTCTTTCCTCTTCCTTTTTATTCTTCTGTGTGCTTATTCTGATTTTGTCTGCCATTCACTACTGGAAACACCATGTTTATAGAACAGGCTTTTCATCTTTATGTAAATACATCGGGGGTTCCGACAATTTAAGAGCAATGCTTTTCTATTCAGACAGGCTTAAGTAATTTTTTTAAGTTTAACATAATTGTATTTGTAAACATAATAGCAAAGTATATTGCTATGAACCCATCTTTTTATATTAAAAAATCTTGTCTCTGCCTCTTTAAGATACTGAATCATTCAAAATCTTTCTGTCCTTCACTCTAAAAGTTTCTTATTGTGATTACACTTCTGATAATGTGTATGAGCTCCCCTAATCCTCACATTTTAACTTTTCCTACTGTAACATGGGTAATAAAAAAGTATCTCCTTCAGTCACCTTTATGAGGCTATTTTAGAAACAAATGATATATGGAAACTACTTATAAGTGTGGCAATGTTATATAAGTCATAAGTCTAGGAATTTAATGTGGTTTCATGATTAGAGAAATATTTTGGACTTCTCAGAAAGACAGTATGATTGTTAGATATAGACGAGAATTTGGAAATAAGGTCACTTACTGAATTTTAACACTAGTTGGCTGTTGCATAAAATCATAACAGGGAGTTATAGAATGATTGAGTGAGGGAGCATCTATCTATTCATAGTGTTCTTGACCCAAGGGAACTTGGGTCAACAAAGTGCCAGAGCCTGCACTTAACCAGGCATCTTGACTTCCAGACCAGGGCTTTCTGCTCTGCTTTTTTCTTGTGTTTGTTATCTCCCTTCCTTCTTCCATCCCTCTCTGTTTTCCTCTCTTCTCCCTCCTTTTCTTCCCGTGTTTAATTTGAAACTGTCACAAAGTATCTATAATGTGCTAGGTCCCATTCTAAGTACCGGAAATGCAACAGAAGTAAGATATAACCACTTGTAGGTTATTGGGGGGAAATATTTAGCCAGTAAATGTGGCCAACTCTGGTAATTGCTAGTTGAGGTGCGGACAGCTAAGACTTGCCTGTATTTCTCAATCCTCTGCTCATTAGTATGGGGTGTTTTTTTTTTTTAGAAAGACTTTTTTTTTTTTTTTGGAGCAATAGATAAGCATATCACAACTCTTGAGCATTTAATTGTCTGAGTTAGGACATTTTTTTTTAATTAATTACTTAATATAGGAACCAAACTGATTAGTTTCAGTTCTTGACAAACTTCCTTGGCATCGTTCCTCAAATTTACGTAGTTCACAGTTTCTTTCACCAGTGTAGCTGCAATTGCGTATAAAATTGAAATGTTGATTAGCTTCCATCTGGAGTTTCAGATCATAGGGACACACGGCAGATAGCCATTAGGTTTTCATGCTAAAATATGAAACCCATGAAGCCCAGGTGGACCTGTTCTTAAAGTCGTCTTTCTGACTCAGGCTGCCTTTGCTGCTGAAAGCCCCCGAGTACCAACCTCCAGGAGAGGCTGTGAAGCGAGCAGCATTCCCATAGGCCTGTATCACCCCTACTGCTGCCTTTGAAATCATTCTGTTAGTATGAAATTAAACATGTAATCATATAGGTGCTCCTGTACTTCTAGGAGTCCAGGGAAGGTAATTCCGGGACTCCCAAAACTGTTTTATGGAGATTGTAATTTTATATGTGGAACCTGATCATAGAGCCAAGGTTAGTGGTAGCCCAGCATATAGAAAGAACATACTGCCATCTAAAATTTCTAAATACTATAAAACACGTGGTCACCATTGACTGAATGATTAACGATCCATATTTACCCAGCTGTGGATCTAGTAGAATCCACCAGGTAAATCTTCGTGAGTGTGAAATAAAGGGCACTTAGCTATCTGTTGGTGAAATTTGGACAGATTTTGGGCCACTGATGGGTGTTTTGGCTGTTGGCTGTCAAGTGGCTTTGGGGATTAATATATGTTTGTTAGAAGACTCTAACTTCTCCACTTCGCTTTGGGCAAGTTCCGACTGGAATCTCTGGAAACTAAATTTTACTTGGCTTGGCCTTTCAGTTTTTATCAAGAATTTGGCAAACATAGACCATAAGTTAATATCATAAGTTCACATAATAGATGAATGGTGACAGCAACTTGAATAGTTGGCATTACTGTAAATTCAGAACTCTAGGCCCTTAGTAGAAGAGAGTGAAACATTGTTCAAAAGGGCTTGTTTCTAGATCAAAGTAGAGCTGATCTTATAGACTGATAGAGTTTTTTAAAAATACAATTATTATAAAAATCGCTAGATTGTTACATGCCTAGAAATTTGTTTCATCTTTCTCAGAGTTATATTTAGACTTCATGGTGATGGAATGAAATTTTACCGTTTAATTTATTTTTTACACCATCTAGTGGCTCAAAATGAGCGGTGCAGCTAATTGCAGCTAATACGTACCATCAAAATGATGTCATAAATCCAACTTTAAATCCAGCTATGGGCTATTACTTTCCTATCTCATGTCAATAAAGTATTAGCATTAATCATGAAAGTTTTTTCATCATTCTGAATTAAATGTAAAAATTATGTACATAAGGAAAAATACACAATGTTTATGGAGACATAGAAAATGTGTACTTTGTGAAGAAATTAATGCTACAACTTTTCTAATAATAGCACCACTTAAAAGAGTTTAAAGAAACATAAAAACATAACTTGCTTTTAATAATTAACTGATGTATAATTTGCAATATTTAATTATCACTGTTTGCCTTACCTTCTAGAAGTTGTCAGTTCCGAAAATACTCTTTAAAAAGGCCACACAAGATGGCTTAAGAAAAGATGCATTCTTTTGATATAAACATTAAACAAATCATGAAATAAAATGGCATACATTATATTAAAGAATGTTTTAATTTTGCAGATGTAATGACAGAAAAGATTTAACTGGGTTTAATGATTAGACTATCTTCATTACAATTCACTATAGAAAGTTTCATTTTTAAATTGAGCCTTTTTCTGTTTTTGCAAGGAAGCCTTGATGGGGTGTCGACTGTGCTCAGTCAGCCTGGGGGTGATTTATTTATTTTTAGGCCTCTTTTTGAGAGTGAGACAGCTCTTAGCCTTCCTTTAGTGGAAATCCAATGTTGCAGTAAAGAAAGAAGAGTGGGCAGATTCCCTGCCCTCCCCGTTGCCTTTTTAATATTTTCCTAGCAGCTGTCATGTGACCCCTGGCTGAGCTAGCCCCTCCTTCAAAGTGGCCCGCATTTTCTTAGTTTTAACCTTTGAACTTCACAAATAATAAATCTAAATACTGCCTTAAAAGGCAAGCCGGTAGTAATGTTTTGCTTACAATTCCTTTCGGAAAGGATTGCTGCCGTTTTTCCTGTGTGAGAATAAAACACTTTATATATACTTAAGTAGTTCAGCGGAGATGTAGAAATCCTGCCCCCGCGTCCAAAGAGCACATTTTCTGAGGTGGATAAAACTGGAATTTGTCATTTTAATGACAGCTGCATTGTTAGTGAATTAACACTGAAACACAAGGCCTGATTTCAGATGAATCTGACAGGTAAAATATCACATTTGAGGTAGAACACCTATTTATTTATTTAGGAATTAGGTTGTTTAAAATCATGCTAAATTCTTTTACTAGTTTGCATTTCAACTTTATTACCACCTCAAACATGGATATGTTGCCATCGTTAATACTAATTTCCTACAAGTATGTGCAATTTTACAATTTTAATAGCAGGATCCAGGTTATATAGCTATAGGCGTTTTCCATGGCCTACCTCTTTGGTATGTTATTCTACTTGCTGTTCTGGATTTACATCCTCTCAGTTTATCTTTCAATCTGTACTCATTGGTAAATTGCTAACCACATTCCTATTCTTACTTTTAAAGCAATAAATTATTTTTAGGGACTTAATGACAGAAGAGCTATGCTTCAGCAAGAAAGAAGCACGCTACTTTGGTATTAACAGAAAAATCAAGAGTCAAGAGTCCTGGAATATTTCACCTATTCTAGGGCATATGTGACTTCAGCTTTACAGTTTTTGAAAAACTTTTTAAGTCAAAAACAGGAAATGTAGGTTGACAGTGTTCATTAATATACAATAAAAGGACTTTTTTTTTTTAGTGTGTATAGGTTGGAATTCCAAGTGTTGACTCTTTTTCTATTTGTGACTTTTTCCCACGATTGGTGAATTGTGGCTGTCACTGATTATTTGCTTCTCATAGTACAATGTAAAGATTCATTTCCTAGAGCTTTTTTTTTTGGCTTCAAACCTAACAGAAAAATAAAATGAAAGTCTCTCTGAGCTGTCCTGGCAGAGGGAAATACAGGGTTACTTTTTAGCTCTTAGTTTTTCCTTTGTGACCACCTGACCCATTGTGCCACAAATAGCATGACCAACTGCTGAGGAGTAACTAGGACATCTCAATATAGGGCACACATTGTTGGCTCGAGGCTGGTTCCCAAAATGTCGTATCTTACAGCCTTTCGGGAAGGAGAAGGAGTATTGGAGATTAATTGTACTTACAACTGTGATTGTTTGGGTCTGGTGGCGTTTGGTGTCTCTGCTGTCAATACGGCGGTGTGGTGGTCTGGGGTATAGTGAAGCAGGAACCCAGCTCTCGCTAGTGTTGATACGCAGTTGATGGACACAGGCACCGCGTCAGTAGATGTCCTGGCTCCACTCCGGGGACTCCTT